TGCGTTTGGAAAAACAAAAAAAAGAATTGTAGCATGCAAAAAATTTCAAACACAATTGCTTCTTCCCTACAGTCTATTGACTATTGTTTATTTGAAAAAGTTAATCACAATGTTGGCTCTAATAATGTGCGTTTGGAAAACATATGGAATTGTAGCATGTAAGAAATTTCAAACACAAATATGTTTTTTCGGTGCATTCTATACCCTATTATTTTGTTGAAAATGTTAATCACAAGGGTGAGAGTAATAATGTAGGGTTGGAAAATATATAGAATTGTAGCATGCAAGAAATTTGAAATTATGATGCAGGGAATATATTCCCAGCGGTCTATGGAAGTATAACTGATACACAATTTCAACATGCTATTTAAACGTGCGAAGTTAGTGGAATCGACATGATAATTCAAATTATAACACAAAGTCGAAGGTTCTACGATATACGAACTAATAAATAAAAGGAAAATGTAACACGGGTGATGTACACATAAAATCGTCCGACGACAACGAGAAAAACATTCAGAACTCATCGCAAACGCCCGAAAGGAGCGCTCAATCCTTACAGTTAATGGACATATTGTCTCACTCGAAACAGTACTCGATGAATTTAAATCTCGAGTAAAGTGTCTTGGCAGCACAGTACGAGTTCCGATTGTCTTTGTCCCGTAGGAACCATAAGGCAAAGAGGTGGAGCCAATCACTTTCCTGAACGTGGCCAGTCGACAGAAATTCGTGAACGCATTCATCGATTGTCATTCCTCCCTTACGATACGAGCGCGCAATTGAAGCAAGATCCGTTCCAACACTACCATCTGCTCAAGGGAAACCGAAACCTCTCGTGCACTGAACATTTTATTCTTTGCTTATACCTTCATGTGCTTGGTTTTTCTTTTATCCTCACTATGGTGTGCAGATATATTCATGGAGTAGTTTGCTCGATCGTCGACTAGACTGCCACTTGAATCTGTTGCATTTGCATTAATGGGGAACTTGTCACATCCGTACTCTCTGTCGCTATCTGTGCCCAATTCAAAACTAGGGTGCGACAACTTTGTTGGGGGACAATGCATACTTGGTCGAGTCTCCAGTGTCTCCGAACAATCTGCCATACATGTCATAAATCTCGCTGCAGTTGAAGTTCCTGTACTTCGCATATTTTGGGTTCTCCTGCATAGACGAGGTAGAGGACAAATAATGTTGGAGTCCGAAATAATTAGTCACTTGTGCATGTACATGTATCCATTGGTTCAAATAATAACCCGGAGTAATAATGTTCAATCAATACCAATACAACCAACATCATGTTCAATCAGCACCAACACAAACAACATCATGTTCTATCAACACCAACACAACGTTCATCATGTTCAATCAATACCAACACAACCAACATCATGTTCTATCAACACCAACACAACCAACATCAAGTTTAATCAATACCAAAACAACGAACATCATATTTAATATGATATTACAAAAACAACCAACATCATCGTAAACTACAAATGACATTTGGAACATGTGAAGCCCCTGTGTGTGAAAATTATTCCAAGTAACAACACTCAATATCGTTCCAGTGTGCAATGTTTTACTGCCTATTAGTCCTTTATAATGATTAGGTGCATACAGATGTGAACGAATACCTTAATTTTTGCTTTTCACCAATGGTCAGGGGGCGTGAATTCTTCCGGTACCCGAACGGTACTCAATTTCAGTGCATCGCAACAACTCAAACAGAAGTTTGTGATCCATTTGCAGTCTATTCCAATAGTTCTTCATCTGCGATGTAGTCCAGTCCTTCCTCATCGAGGCGTTGAACATGTCTGATATACGATGCCATCCTTTCGAGGAGAAGCATTTCCCTTGTCGGTGGCCTCAGCTATGACAAGATTGTAGGTGTCGATAAATACTTTGTGCTCCAGCTGGTTCCACCTTGCCATCTTACGCACCATACCCAGGCTGCCTGCGACTTGGAAGAATCAGGGTGCAACCTATGTGGGCTCCCACTTGTGAACCACTGCCATGGGAAACACGCATGATGAGTCAGGTAATATTGATAAACAACTACAAATTGACAATGCAAAAGCAAAATCCGTCTACATTACAGGGGGAAAAATTCTTCGCAGGTTTGATATAATTTATATAGAAGTCCATCAAATTGGAGTAATACCCATGTGCAAAAAATGACAAGAGTGGTATAAACGGGTAGCAAATTGACACAGTATGCTCCTTCACAGAGATCGAATGAGGAATGACTTATCGTTTGGTCGGGGGAACTTTGCCACTGGGAGAAGTCGTTTTCCATAGAATCCGGTCACTAATTCGTGCTAGACGCCGAATTTGTTGCTTGAGTTCCAACCGAATCGAAGCCTGGAACACGGCAGAGGAGAAGAAAGTCAAAAATTTCCACAAAATCGGACACAGGAGAAAAATTACTTGGGTCATTGGGATACTGAAAAAAGCCGTATGTATACCTGGATTTCAGAGAACTTCCAATTTTTCCCGTAGATTTGATCCAGAGGTCGTCGTGATCTGGTTTGTTTCTGCAACTGTTGGAGAGGAGTAAGTAGAAATGGGTTTTGGCCGAAATGAGTTTTGATAAACAATTAAAGATGGGGGCAAAAACGTAAACATTTTACAATGGGAGGAATTGTTAAAAAATTGGGTTTCTGACAACTTTCTTGACTTTGGGGAGCGTTGTCTGAATGTACTGTAGCAGAATTAGATATTTGGGCAAAAAAAGAGGTTTCAAACAGGGGCTAAATATTTTTATATATGCCTATGTTTGGGTAAACTTATTAGTAACTTATAAGGAGTAGTGGATTCCAAGAAATGTGTGGATAATAAATGGGTAATAGTTATGAATATGTGGTTGAAATTAATATTTGACTGAAAATTATAAGTTACTTGTTAGTTTATCCAAACATGGGCTAAATTTAACAGTGAACAGTATGGATCATTACCAACTCAAATAAGACAAAATTATGAATCTTTCATTATATGAATTTATTCTTGCCTGGCACATCTAGTGGATTAGATCAGGCTTACATGTGAACTGGTATCTAATATTTATAATTTTTGCACATTATCTATACTGTTCGTCTTTTTAATGATTGATCTATTTGCAGGGATGGCTATTTTATTCAGACTCGTCATTTTGGAAACCACCACAGATGAAGGTACTAGCTTCTAGAGTAAGGGAAATACATTTATCTTCTATTTCACATATTGTTCAGGTGCTGAGGCAATCCAGTTCATGTCTGACAGGCACTTCTACATTCTGTTCCATTTGGGAAGATGATAGTGCTTGATCTATTTGCAGATGTCAAACCAATATGGAAATCATCTTCTCAATTCTATGGCACTCCTTATATATGGTACTCTGCGTTTAGTATAACATTATCCATTGGAAATTAAGTTACTTTTCTAGACATTTCTTCTGTTATTTCATGATTTATATAGTTTCCGCATCTGTATTTTGTAACATGCAACAGGTGTATGTTGCATAACTTTGGTGGAAATATTGAAATGTATGGCATATTGGACGCAGTTGCTTCAGGTCCAATTGATGCCCGTATTAGTAAAAATTCAACAATGGTAGGCTCTACATTTTATGCAAGACATACTATCGTCATTTATATGACACTATTAATTTCCTAATGAGCTCAAATCTAAAATATATGGACATCAAAATGTGACCTAGTCTATGAAAAGTTGACCCTGGAATCTCGTCTATAAATAGAGAAACTAGAAGAGATATTTAGAGAGATCTTTTGTCCTTTATTATTTTCCTGCTAATATCTTACTCTTTTCTACCGATTTCTTTTCTTCTTACTTCTGTCCTATTATATACGATACTCATTATCTGCTTTCAGGACAGATTGGTGTTGGCATGTGCATGGAAGGAATAGAACATAATCCTGTTGTATATGAGCTGATGCCTGAAATGGCATTTCGAAGTGATGCTTTACAACTGGAGGTAATAAATATCGTTTTGCTATGACAAGAAGTTGGTCAAAGTTGTTTGTTCCAATAAATTCTATGGAGTTGGTTCTGCTTAGAAGAGATTTGTGAACCTCAATCCATTAACTTCACACGAAACTTGATTCGATTTATTATGTACGACTTACAATATTGTTATTAACAGAGTGGTTATATTTTTCTTTTATAAGAAACATGATTTTATTAATTAAGTGTAACTACAATTGTTAAGAGAATAAGGAATCCTCTAGCTATCAAACAACATAAAGTAAATTTAGAATACAATTCATTTTCCAACCAAGGATAATTAAAGAGAAAGGAATGCCCTTGAACCCCATATAAAGGGAGGGAGTGGTTATATGATCACGACATTGGACTAAACTTTGTAAAATGACATTGGTGTCAAATTTAACAAGACAAACAACATTTAAAGTTCTAGCAAATACTTTATATGTATTTATTACGATAGAATCACTACTGCAGGTAAAAAATCTAAAGCTTCTCGAATATAGTGAACATGTTTCTTATGGATGGAAAGTTAATCTTGAAAATGAGACTATTATAATACATACTGAAGCAAGAATCAACAAACACTTGCGCATATGAAGGTATAAAAAGTTGACTTGTATAACTGATTATTTTGCGCTCTGATATTTCAATTTTGTTCTTCCAATGTCTTTTGTTCATTTTCCATGAAATCTCAATTTAAGTGGTGCTCATTTTGCATGAAATCTCAATTTAAATAGCACATCACATCTTTTTGCACAACTTTATGGCATGTTTGGCTAAGCATGTGTTTACTGCTGAAATAACACCAGAAAAAGCAAGAATCAGCTACTTATAACTTAGCCAAACATGCTCTTAGTCTCTCACCGAAGTCCCCTATAGAAGCATGGCACTTCACTTCAGAACATCAAATTTCGTGGGAAAATTTATTATTTTTAATTCTTGCAGGACTGGTTGATAACCTACTCTCATAGACGATATGGTAAAGCCATTAAACAAGTTGAGACTGCCTGGAAAATTCTTTATCATACAATCTACAACTGCACCGATGGAATTGCTGTATGTATCTTGCAATTAATTGATTAATAATAACTTTGATAATTAGTTTTGCTGTAGAGACCGTATTCGTCACTTGAATCTCTAATTCTAGAAATAGATTGGTAATATAGTTACATTTCATTATTGCACATTTTATATGCTAATGTAAAGCAATTGGTAGCAGAAATTTATACCATTTTTGCATGTTGACTCACATGTTTTACTTTTTAGTATCTCCTGTTGCCTTTAGTTATTTCTGTGGTACAATTCTGCGCTCTCTCAGGAGTAACAAATTGTCATCCAAGGTTGAAGAAACAGTTTGAGAGAAATCCTTATGAAATTGCTGAGCTTGCTGTAAATGGCCTTCTATTAAGTTTCTACATAAACTAATTAAAAGATGAGAGCCATCTGCAACATAATGTGAAGCCATTTCTTTTAAATTTAAATGATTACCATAGAGATTGAATTATTTATAAAATAACTGATCTGAGATGTTAAAGATGATAGTTTTCACTTTTTGGCTCCAATTTCGTTAAATTTCAGTTTCTATTAACTGCTTGCGTCTGTATGTCCTAGTCTTTGAGTCTCTGACAAATCTCTATATAAATAAGCATATCTTCCTTAAATGTTGCATTTGAATCTGTTTTGTGCAGGACCATAACAAAGATTACATCGTGAAGTTGCCTGATTGGGATCCATCGCTGAGTTCCAGGTTTGAGATGTCTGAAGTAAATCACATGCAAAAACTTGTTGAAATACCACGAACCAGAAGGTTCTTGTTTCATGAGACAAGCTCTTCCTTGCCTCAGCCACATTTGTGGTATAATACTGGGGAAGTTCTCCGTGCATTAAAGCTACTCCTTGATGCTGGAAATGAACTTTCTGGAAGCCTCACGTACAGGTAAAACTTATACCTTACTCCTACATGTGAAAAGCCCAAATCTAAACAGTTGTCACCTTCCTAAAATGGAAAAACACAACCTAGAACTCCCCGGCCAATAAAATGTTCAACCCCTCATGTGCATACATGCCCAAAGAATTTTTAGGTTATTTGACGCGTGATGTCTCTACAAGGATGTTTCAATTGTGTAATTTATGGTATTTCTTATAAAGGGACTAAGGGAGTGGTTAGATAATCTGCGACTTTTGACTAAACCTTGTAAATGATAATTATGTCAAACTTTGTTTGCCAAACAATATTCCAAGTTCAAGCATAAACTATATATGTATTGGACATTCTAGAATAACAACTGCTGGTATTTCTAAAGCTTCTCGAATAAAATGAAGATGTTTGTTGCCTGCATTCTTGAGGCTGTGGTTGCAGGTATATGGCCCATATGCCCGCATGGCATGACATGTAGCTGAGTTCTTCAATATGTCCTGTCTTGATCTTGTTTTTGAGTATTAATATGAGAAGAGATTCCATAGCAACAAAAGCATACAAATATGCATGTAGAAGTACTGAAAATTGTATTCATCTCCTACAGGTATGATTTGGTTGATTTAATTAGGCAATCACTCTCAAAGCTCGCAAATCAGGTATATCTAAATGCAATAGCTGCTTTCCGGGATGGGGATGCAAAAGCTTTAAGTGTGCATAGTCGAAAGTTCCTACAGCTCATCAAAGACATTGACAAACTTCTTGCTGCGGATGATAACTTTCTACTTGGTACATGGCTCGAAAGTGCTAAAAAGTTAGCAGTAGATGCAAATGAGCTGAAACAGGTGACAATTTCTTCCTTTCTTTATGTTTCCCTTTTTAAAAGTTTGAGGCGGTAAACTCAAATCAACTTAGTTCGCCATTATCAGGACAGTTTACTTCTATTTTGTTTACACTAGGAACAGGAAAAGTCATGACCTTGTTGATATTTAAAGATACTAAGCTCTGCAAATTTTCCTTCGTGAAGAACTTATTTTATGTGTTATCCTTGGTTTAGTACGAGTGGAATGCAAGGACTCAAGTGACAATGTGGTATGATAACACCAAGAATGTTCAGAGCCAACTTCATGACTACGGTAAACTTGCTTCTATTCTATTCTATTCACATTTTTGCCTTTCTTTTTCGGATTTGTTCCTAGTATTCTTATATGCTTTTGTGTGCTTCAGCAAATAAATTTTGGAGTGGACTATTAGAAGGATATTATCTCCCGCGAGCATCAATGTATTTCACTCGTTTGTTGAAAAGCTTGGAAGAAAACAAGGACTTCCAGTTGGAGGAATGGAGACAAGAGTGGATCACATTCTCAAACAAGTGGCAATCAGGTCGGGAAGTTTACCCGGTAAAAGCAAAGGGCGATGCCCTTGTTATTGCAAAGGATCTATATCAGAAATATTTCACTTAAAATCATGGGGTGTTTGTTAATGTAGACGAGGTTGTGAAATCGTTAACCTTCATTTGTGCAAGTGATAAAATTCAAGATACTGTTTGTCTTGGTTTTATATATGCTTTAGATTTACAGTGTTCATCACTCAAGAATAAAATGGGAAAGGAATATGAAGATAGAGTATCATCAAGTCTCCACGAGAAACTTTTAGATGAAACTCCAAATTCAACATTTCAGAAGGATTCTTACAAATTGTGTAAATAACCACTTATTTTAGAAAATTCGCGATTCTGGATTGTTATTAGCACAAAGTGTCTCTACGTTTAAAGCTTATTGTGCAAAACATCAGCATCTTGCATTGTCATCTCTATTTGTACATTTCATTGCGGAAATCACTGTTTTCATTCTTCTCATCCAATTTCTTAATAAAGAATTATAAAATGACGAATATATCATTTTATTTAATAAAACAAAAAAATAAAGAATTAATTACAACCACATTTCCAAATATTTTTGAAAAGTACAAATGAGTTGCAAACAAATTATTAAAAAATTAGGGAAAAAAGCTTTTTTCCACCCTTCCTCCCATCCAGTCCCAACTTTTTATCCTCAGATCTGTTCAATTTCTCATCTTGCATCAAGGAGGATATTAATTCCCCTACTTAATATAAATTCTCAATTTCCCATGTTGTTGATGGTGGTAGTTGTGTGAGTGTCCACTTCATCTTCTTCCAAAAATTCAGGATTGTATTCTCCTGAATAAAAGGGGTTACGAATTTATTAAGTTTGATGTGGAAGGTGGAAGGAAGTTAAATTTTCGGTCAATATATGGTGATGGAATGGGATTTTGGAAGGGAAATTTGAGAATATTTAGGGTCCGTTCTTTTTACTATTGTCAAGCCGTTTATTGTTTTCAAATTTTCAGAACAGTGAATACGCGTTCTCTTTCCTATTTTCGAAAACACGTTTTTGAAAAAGAAGTTAAAAATTTACAAAGAAAACTTAAAACGACAAATTTGTCGTTTTTGTGTTTTTAATTATAATCAAGCCAAAATTTTCAAAACTCATTTTGGGTAATTTCAAAATACCAAAAAGAATACATTTTCAACAATGTCAGAATAAACACTCAAAACACAAAATCCAAAATAAATTCAAAACTCAAAATACAAAACTGAAACAGAACGGTCCTAAGTTTTTCCATGAGGACCATACAGTAAATGCTCATGAACAGTAGAGAGGTGACAATGTATAATTTAGAACGGCTGCACTGGACTCATCTTACAAAATATAATTGTTCTTAAAGTTGTTGGTTTAATTTAACTACACGAGGTTCTTAAAGTGTGGGAGGATATAAATTCTGACTCAGGGGAATTAATATCATCTTTGATGCCAGATGGGAAATTGAACAGATTTGAGGATAAAAAGGTTGGGATCCGGTGAGGAAAAAAGTTGGTGGCAGTGGAGGTGGAGGAGGAGAAGAAGGAAGGAAAAAAAAAGAGAGAGAGAAAGAGAAAGATTTTTTTTTCTTTTTTAAATTTCTTATTTTTTAATAATTTGTTTAGATCATTTGCACTTTTTTAGAAAGTTTGCGTGGTTGTAATTAGTTCTTTATTTTTCTTTTATTTAAATATGAAGATATATTCATCATTTTATAGTTTTTTTTAATTGAAAAATGGGATGGAAATGATGATTTCCGTGATGAAATGTGCAAATATGGGTGAAAAAAAAGAGTAAGATGTTGACGTTTTGCATGGTGAGCTTCAAATGTAGTGACATTTGTGCTAATATTATAGTTCAAACATCAAGCCCTTATTTGGTTCTCATTATTTTCAAAATATATTTTTTTTCTCTTATTTTCATACGCACATTCTTTAATAAAATAATGTTATACAATCAGTTTTTTTAACAGCACATTCTCTATTAAAGTAGTATTTCAAAATGTATTCTGGATTAAAAAAAAAAAATAAGGGTTATGTTAACCTAAAAAGTTGTGCACCAACAAATGAATGCCATAAAATCTTAACTACACAATGATGGGCCACTTTTACAAAGAATAATGATATTTAGTTTTCCTAGGATTATGATCTTAGTTCATGTAGTGTTAAGTGTTATATTAAATGAAAAGTGAAATTAAATGACTCGTTTAATTATGCTTATTATTTATGTCATAGTAACATCACGTAGAGTGAAGTTGTCTAAATAGCATTACCCTTTTACAAAATAGTGTAAAATTTGAATAAAAAGTGGCTGTTTTTAAAAACAATTTTACAAGTAGACCATTTTCAAATTCGCCCTTAAAATATGGTTATTCTCCAAATTCCTCAAAGAGTAGAAATAAAGTAAAAATTAAGGGAACGTTACATATTTAAGGTGGTTAAAATATACAATTTCAAAATTAAAATTTTAAAACTTCAAAAATCATGTCATAATTAAATTATATATATATATATATTATACAATTTATGGTTACAATTATGTATTAGTGATAATTATTAAATATTTCGGTCGCAAATTATCAAATTAATTGACCACACATTATTTTTCAGTCACGAATCACAAATTTTATAAATTATGATTTATTTGTCGGTCACAAATTATCAAATTAATAGTTCACGTATTATTTATCGATCACAAATCACAACTTTTATAGGTCACAATTTATTTTATGGTAACAAATCATGAAATTAATTGGTTACAAGTTATTTCTCAATCATAATTTATCAAATTAATCAAATTAATTGGTCACAACTTGACAAATTATAAGTCACTACTACAAATTTAGTTGTAGTCTCACATTTTCTAGGTCAGATATTATTTATTGATCACAAATTTATACACAATATACATGTTAGTTAGTTCTACATTGATTAGAAAGTAAAGCATTCCTATTAAGTTAAACTATAAATAGGATGCCTATCTTATAAACAAATTACACTATTCAATACAATTCTATTATATTTGTATTGTCTTATTTTCTCTCTTAAATTCAACTAGGAAAACCATGAACCACATATTCCAAGCCATAATGTTAGGACCGGTAAGTTTCTCAGTAACAAGCTGAGAAGTGGAATGAAGGGTTTGACTGGGGTGTGTAATATTTTCAGTATCCCTAGAAGGGGAAGACATTGTGAAAAATAGAAGAAATGTGCGGAAGCTGAATAGAAACGGATAAAGCGTTAGCCAATTTTAGCTTTCATACCATGAAAGAAAAGGAAGAGAGGTGATATACACAGAGACGGAGATGGGGGGTGACCGCCCCCAATATTGTCTACTAGTCCACTATTTCTAGTTAATTTGTAATATATTTTTCAGTTTCGCTCCCCCCTCCCCACCCCACCCCACCCCACCCCAACCCAACCCAACCCCACCATCGACACCCATCGACCATTGAGCTACATCACCCCCGCAACCGCAGTCATCGCCGCGGCCTAAATAATTGATCACAAACATTCTTCATCCCACGTCCACCATCGGCACCAACAGAACTTTACCCCACCTCACCACCATTGTCGTCGTCGTCATTACCACCACCAGAACCACCAGCACCGCTGCCAACACCACCACACCGCACAACACCATCATAGCAACTGCGAAACCACCACCTTGTCGCACAGCACACCACTACCGCACCGCACAACGCACCACAACTACACCATAATACAACCACAGTGCCGTCATCTGAACTCGTGTAAAACCACCATTGAACCGTCGTCATTGCCTACTTCGAGCAGCATGGATCGCGAACAATCCCAAACTTCCGTAAAAAAACACAAAAAAATCATAGGCCACCACAAACCACGAGTCCATATCATCCATTTCAAAGAAATCAAACTCAGAAAAAAGAGAACAGAACTGCATTGTTGCACACAAAACAGAAAAGAAACAGATCAGTGTCGCTGCTTGCGAAGGAGAGCTGCTGCGCATGAAGCACGAGGCCTAGCACGGAGGAGGACCATCGTCGCTGCTCGATGCAACACGTGCTCAACGTTGATGCGCACAAAAGAGTCGTGGTTTGCGGTGGTCGTGGAAAAAATAAGTTGTAAATGTGATTTTTGAAGTTGAAAGTTAAAATTTGTGTGCAAGTGTAATCTCCACAAAATTTAATTATGATACAATGACCACGTGTCTTCATTTATGTATATGACTTATCACATAGGGTGGGGAAATTTAAGGAGTAAATATACCGATCTTAAGATTACTGTGATATGGTTTGGATTATTGTAATCTAGTTTAGATTATTACACCTATATTTTCTAATAAAATCATTGAAGTAGAACTACATGCAAAATACCTTCGAAGCCTTGCATGAAAATGGCGAAGTCCTCAGCATATTTTTGCTTCACTATCATCCTCGCTACTTCCTTTTTATGTACGTAGCTACAATAATTTGTATTAGTTTTGTGATCTTCGCCACTTAATTTATATTTCGTACATATTATTTTACACGTCTTTTGTTGCTTTTATAGTTCACAAGAAAACCGTATGTTTAAATTAATGGTATTTTTATGTCTGGCAGCTGAGTTGATAACTCCCAGCGTGAATGCTGCGACATGCTATAAAGTACTAGAAAATGTCCCCTGCTTAAATGGAAATCCTGCACCAAGTTGTTTGCCAGCATGCCAGATAATATGTGGAGTGAATTCCACTGGTATTTGTGTGAAAGCTTTCGTAAATAGTCCTTGGGCATGTGGCTTTGAATCTCGTGCAACTGATTGTACCAAATTTGAAGTCTGTTGACACATTACTTCTTTCTAAAGAAGTAAGAACGAATAAGCAATTGAAATAAATTTGTGGTTTTGGTTTTATTCTATTGATTTTAATCTAGTCTCGCGTTAAAAGACTATAGAGGATCAAGTTCGATTATATGATAAACATGAAAAACAAATGATTAATAATGTTTCTTACATAAAGAACGGTATCTTTTTCTAGGGCTAATTAGGGATGTCAATCCGATTCGTTGATTAGGAAGGTCTGCGGCTTAGCTCGTAAAAAGTCCAAGCCGACCGAGCCTCGTTTTT